GCGGTCTGGTCCAGCCTCGGGATGCTTTCCAGCAGCTGCGCCTCGCCGAGGCCTCTTCTGGGCGTGCCTGGCTCGTCCCGACCGGCTGCTGGAGAGCCGAGTCCTGACCTGCATTTTGGGGGGCGCGTAATGGGGGGGCGGTAGATGGGGGGGCAGCGAGGGCTGCCGAAAAGGAGCCCTCGGGGACCCTTTGGGCCCAGAGGCTTTCCGAGCCTGTAGAGGGCACCTTTCTTCCCCCCTCTATCGCCCTCCTACTACTTCGCGCTCCACTGCAAACCAGGGGGCAGCGTCGAGGGGGGATAGGCTCAAGGGCGGAATGCATCGATCCCCAATCGCCCACTCATCGCTGACAGGATGCCCGAGAGCCCACATGGGGTCTCCCGAAGGCCGAGGGCCCTGCGATAGTTGCGTCTTGCGCGCTTGTGATTCTCCCCCCCCCCCCCCACGGCGAGGTATCGCGGATCCCGGCGCGATGCTCCCTCCCCGCCAGAGCCAGCCCCAGACTCAGTATTTGGTCGGCCGATCTTCCACCACCACTATCATAGGTAGGAGGGAGGAGGAGGAGGAGGAGGAGGAGGAGGAGGAGGAGGAGGATAATGGGGAGAAGGGGGAGGAGGAGGAGGAGGAGGAGGAGGAGGAGGAGGAGCAGCAGCAGCAGCAGCAGCAGGAGGAGGAGGAGGAGGAGGAAGAGAAAGAAGAAGAAGAAGAAGAAGAAGAATAACAAGAAGAATAAGAAGAATAATAAGAAGAAGAAAGGAGGCGGATGACGAGGAGGAGTAGGAGATGGGGGAGGAGGAGGAGGAGGAGGAGGAGGACCTCCCCGTCCTCCCTTCTCCCCCGTCCTACCTGTGGTAGTAGTGGTGGAAAGTGCGCCCATCAAACATTGACATACTAGACTGATCCACTCACGGATCCAGTTCTAAGTATGGCATCATGGGCTTCATTAACCATGCGTAGCATGCTTTCCCCGCGGGTCATGGAAACATCATGACGCGGATTGTTTCCCCATTTTCAGCCCCTGGGGACCCTCACCGGCCCTCGGGACCGTCAACAAAAAAAGGATTCGGGATAAAGAACCAGTCCAAGGGAAATGGGTCCAGACCGCTCAGGGTCGACGTCATGAAAAAAGATGACGTCGGGGGTCTGGGGTCCCAGATTATGCCCTTCCAGTCGTCAAGCGTTCCGCATGACTTCCTCTGCTGGCTTCCTCCTATCCGCATGGCTTCCTCCTATTCCCATGGCTTCCGCCTATCCGCATGGTTTCCTTGTATCCGCAAGGTTTCCTCCCATCCGCATGGCTTCCTCTCTATCCGCATGGCTATTCCAATGGAGTCTCAACAATCGTCAAACATTCGTCAGATTCAGAAGTAGGCTTAAGTAAGAGAGGGCGCATTCGAGTAGAGAAGAGAAGAGCATATCAGTAGAGTAGTCCAGAACGGAGTCGAGTAGAGTTGGTTTGAGTAGAGTCGATTAGAGTAGATTGGAGTAGGGTAGAGTGAAGAAGAGTGGGTTCGAGTGGAGTAGAGCAGATCTGGGTAAAGGGGTACTGTAGAGTAGAGTCGAGTAGGGCAGAACAGAGTAGAGCAGGGTAGATGGTAGAGTAGATCTGTTTATAATTGAGTGTATTATATTGACATCGCGTAGAGAAGGAGTAGGTTCGATTCGGGTAGGCAAAAGCCGACAATACCAGAGTAGAGTAGAGTAGATGGCAGAGTTGAGTCGGACACAATAGAGTAGAGTACACCATATCAAGGTTAGAACCGAGTCGGGCAACATAGCACAATTTTGAGCAGGGTAGGAGCAGCGTATAGTGGAGCAGAGTAGAGTACGAGTACGAGTAAGAGTCCGAGTCCGAGTACGAGTAAGAGTACGAGTAAGAGTAAGAGTATAGTAGAGTAGAGCAGAGTAGGTTAGACTAGAGTAAGTTTGAGCAGAGTAAGGTAGGGTAGGGTAGGGTAGCGAAGGGCAGAGTATACTGAAGTAGAAGTAGGGTAAATGGTAGAGTAAAGCTGTGCAGAACAGAGTAAAGTAGAGTGGAGTAGAGTAGAGTAGGGCAGAGTGGAGTGCAGCGAGTAGAGTAGAGTAGAGTAGTGTAGGGTAGGGTAGGGCAGGGTAGGGTGGAGTGGAAAGGAGGAGAGTATATTGCATTAGAACAGAATGCAGTCGAGTGGGAGTAGAGTTGAGTCAAGTTTAGCCACGTCGACCGAGTCGGTAGGGTGGAGTAGAGTGAGAGTAGAGTGAGTAGAGTAGGCTATGGTAGGGCAGGGTAGAGTAGAGCATCTCGGTCTCCTGATCTATTTGGGGCCTGCGCTGGCTCACATGTGGCGGTCTCAGGAGGCCCAGCGAGGGCCCCCAGAGACCGAGAATGGCAGAACTTGTCCGCCCCATGTGGCTTCTCGACGCGGGCATGCCGGGGGAGCCCCTGACGTTGCCGCTCAGGTAGGCGACGCAGAAACACGAGGCCGTCTGCGCCGACATTGGCGCGTGAGCTGCCCGCGGAAGCTCGCGCGTGAGCGCTCTCGTCTCCGACGTGACGTGCCGCGCTGGCGGCCCGCGTAAGCCGCCGCGGAAGGTCGCTGCGTCATCTCGCGCAAGACCCGCTCCCAGACATGATCGCGTCGTAAAAAGATAAGGACGGGAGGTTTTAGGCTCTTTTCGGCCCCGGGGGGCCCTCGCCGGGCCTCGGGACCGTCAGAACACGACTCAGGACGAAAAACCGGTCCGGGGAAAGGGCCGGGACTTCCAGGGAAGCCGTCCTGAAAAAATCAGGACGTCGCATGTCTGGGTCTGTTTTCGTCGCTCAGGTGGGTGCTGCACGGGCGCGTGCTGCGGCCCGCGCACGTGGCGGTGGTGAAGGGCAGGCCGCCCGCGGAGTGAGGCCGCCGGGCTGCAGCAGTGCGGCGCGCGCTGCTGCTTCTCGAGGCGGTGGCTCCCACCGCCAGGGCATGGCCTCGTCCACCGCCCGCCCCGCCCGGGAGTCGCGCCCTCCTCCTCCTCCTCCTCCTCCTCCTCCTCCTCCTCCTCCTCCTCCTCCTCCTCCTCCTCCTCCTCTTTGGCCCCACCAGAGGCCCCGCATCTGCCCGATAACGCCGCGTCTCCCCCGAGGGCCTCGCGGGCTTCTCGAGGAGCCGGCCACGCGCACGATGGACCCTTCGCCAGAGGGGCCTCCGGTGCCATGGCCCACATGCCCCCCCCCCCCCAGCAATGGCACGGCCTGCACGCGTGGATCTGGGCCCCCCCCCGCGCGCTAAAGCAGGGCTAGGATCGGGATAATCGCTCCAGAGCGTTCCGGAGCGCTCTCAGAGCGTTCCGGAACGCTCTGGAGCGGCCGCGGCGCCCAATACATCCTCCAAACCCGCCGATTCGCAGAGATTTCGAGTTATCCCGATCCGATTTTGTCCCGATCTTCGCGTCGTTTTGCGCGCGGCTCGGCAAGCCGCGCACCAGAGGCCGCCATGGTTCGGAGCCGCTCCCGCGTGCAGCCGACGGAGCCTCCGTCGGCTGCACGGGCGCGAGACAGGTGCTTCATCCCCCGGCGGAGGACACGGACGTGACCGGGGGAGGGGGCGGGGGGACGGGGGCCCGTCGCGTCGCGACTCGCGCCGGCGCCGTCTGGGGATGCTCGGGAGTGCCGAGTCCCACACGGCGCCCGCGCGAGTCGTGGCGTGACCCGGGGGGTCGACGGGGGCGTGGGGGAGCGGGGCTGGTCACGGGCGTCGTCGCGGAGGGTCGAACACCCCAGACCCCCTCGAGTTATGAAAAAATCACGACGGGAGGTTTTTCTTTGTTTTTAGCCTCTGGGGGCCCTTGCCAGCCCTCGGGACCGTCAGAAAACGACTCAGGACGAAAAACCGGTCCCAGGGAATGGGTCCAGACCGCTGGGGTCGACGTCATGAAAAATTCATGACGTCGGGGGTCTGGGACTGAGGCTCGGGTGCCGTCGAGGACCTCTCGAGGACCTGCCCGCCCCTGCGGGCGGGAAGGCATCGACGTACCCAGACATGCGGCGTCCTGCTTGTTTCAGGGCGCCCGCCCTGGAAGTCCCGGCCCCCGGGACCGGTTTTTCGTCCGGAGTGGTGTGTTGCCGGTCCCGAGGCCGGGCGAGGGCCCCCCCAGGGCCGGAAGTAGCCAAAAATTTGCCGTCCTGCTGTTTTCACGCCGCGATCTACTCTGTAAGAACGGTTTTTTGAAGGCAGATCTGCCTTCAAGGAGGAAAGACTGGTCTACTCTGTAAGAACGGTTTTTTGAAGGCAGATCTGCCTTCAAGGAGGAAAGACTGGTCTACTCTGTAAGAACGATTTTTTGAAGGCAGATCTGCCTTCAAAAAACCGATCTTACAGAGTAGACCAGTCTGGGTCCCCACCGTTCTCCCATGGCGCCAGGGCGGGACTCCACCCCAGGGTTGCGTTCTGAGCCCGTTCGGCGGCGCCGAACCGGCTCACATTGTTTGTCCCTTGGGAGGTCCTGCAAGTTTCAAGACTTCTTTTTCGTGAGCCCGTTCGGCGTAGAAGAACTACAGATCGAAGTGCGTCCGGTCGGCAGAACGTGAGCCCGTCTGGCGGGGAAGTGGGCCCGTCCTGCGCGGAAGTGAGTCCGTTCGCGCGGTTCTGAGCCCACTCGGCTGGGTTGTGAGCTCGTCCCATGTCTGTGCCACCAGCCGAACCGGCTCACTTTCGCGCGCTGCCTGCACGGCGCTCGTGGAAAGACGGTGTGTTCTTTCATGCCCCATTCGGCGACGCGAGCATGCCTGTTCAAACAAATGCTTCGCGATGTGGATACCTAGCGAAAGTGCCGAAGAAACGCAACGCGCGCGCGAACCAGGGTTAAAGATGGGGGGTCTGGAATCGGAGCGCGGGCGGGTGGCGAGGAAAGCGGATGGTAGCGCGGGGGCATTTTTCTTTGGAGTCCACAGCAAAGCAATGCCGATCTGATAGAAGAACTCTGAACAGCCACCCGTCCCGAGGAAAACTGAGCGCCAGAGCGGCCGTGGGAAGCACTGCACGGGCACTTAAGATCGACGGGAAGGGCAACAGGGAGGATGCGGGGAAAAAGAATAATAATGGACGCGGTGGGCGAGGAAGGAGGCATGCAAGCAGGCCTCGGAGGAAGAGCATGGGAAGGAAGAGAAACGCAACGCTGAGGAGCCGGTAAAAGGGATTTTGTTATTCGCGTTATCGTTGCCATTTGTCTTCCTCCTGCTCATCCTCCTTTTCTCACTCCTGCTCCAGTTGGCCATTGGTCCAACGGCCTCCGCCTTCTCCCTCCTGCTCCTGGTGCTCCTCCTGCTGTTTCTCATGTTCATGCTCCTCTTCCTCCTCCTCCTTCGCGTCATCCCCCGCTGCATTTGACCGTCGGTCGAATGACATCCCTCTCCAGCCCCTGCTCTGCTTGCTCCCGCCGTTGCTCTTCGGTTTTATCATCGTATCTCCACCACGCCTCACTCCTACTCCATTTGGCCGTCGGTCGAATGGCTTCCCGCGCAATGTTGTTTCTGCGCCTCCTTTTTCTCCTCCACCTCCTCCTCCTCCTCCTCCTCACCCGCGTCGTCATCGTCATCTTATCGTCGCCACCGCTATCGCCATCATCATAACCATCAGTCAACTTATCAGCATCATCAGCATCATCAGCATTTCCCCACTCCCGCTCTATTTGAACCTCGGCCGAATGACCTCCCTACCCTCCGTCCTGCTCCTCCTTCTTTCTCCTGTTGCTCCTCCTGATTATCATGTTCCTCCTGTCCCTCTCTCCTGCTCCACTTCGCAGTCGGTCAAATGGCTCCCTTATCCCCCTCCTGATCCTCGTTGCTCCTCATGATTTTGCTGCTGCTTTTCCTCTCATCTTCCTCAGTTTCACAGCGGGCTGACGTTCAAAAGCCCCCATCCTCCTCCGTCCTGCCCCTACAGCGCATGTTCATGCTGCTGCTCATCCGCCCTCGTCCTCTCGGCTCCTGCTCTCTTCGACTGTAGGTCAACCGCCCTCCCTTTTCCTCCTGCTTCTCTTGCTTATCCTGTTTCTGCTGCTGTTGCTGCTTACCTTTCTCCTCCGTTCACTCCTGCCCCGTCTGGCCGTCGGCCAAGAGGCCCCCCTCCTCCCCACTGCTCCACTTGCTCCTGCTGCTCTTGCTGGAAACACGGAAGGGGGAACGCAGACGGAGGAGACGGCAATGGGATGAGGCAGGGAGTGGAAAGGTTTGGGACAGGGACGGACGGTGGAAAGTGCGAGGAGGAAGGAGAGGAGAGCTCACGTCAGCGCGCCATTGTTTCCTCGCGTCTTGAGGAACGCCTCCACTGGCGACCCCCTGTCGAAGCTACGGCCGCACGGCGCGATAAACGCTTTGTCAAGCTTCGTGGGGTCGGACGGACGCGGCTTCATCTGCGCCTCCCAACCTCCCCGAAGGCGAAAGCCATCTCGACAACGCCAGCGACGAAGCGCAAGGCACCGAAGGCCGACGCAGCGGCGAGTGCCAAGTCAGAGGCCCAGAAGGCCAAGAAGGCCAAGAAGGCCAAGAATGTCCAGTATTCCCCGACCCACCTTCCAGAAGGTTGGGAGGTGCTGATGAAGCCGCGGCCGTCCGACCCAACGAAGCTTGACAGAGCTTTCGTCGCGCCGTGCAGCCGTAGCTTCGACAGGTGGTCGTCTGTGGAGGCGTTCCTCAAGGCGTGAGGAAACAATGGCGCACTGACGTGGGCTGTCTTCCCCTTCTTCCTCGCACTTTCCACCGTCCGTCTCTGTCCCAGGCCTTTCCCCTTCCCTGCTTCATCCCGTTGCCGTCTCCTCTGTCTGCATTCCCCCTTCCGTGCTTCCAGCTGATGCAATGGGAGCAAATGGAGCAGTGGGGAGGAGAGGGGCCGCTTGGCCGACGGCCAGATGGGGCAGGAGTGAACGGAGGAGAAGGATAAGCAACAGCCGCAGCAGGAACAGGATAAGCAAGAGGAGCAGGAGGGAGAGGGAGGGCGTTGGACCTACAGTCGAAGAGAGCAGGAGCCGAAAGGAGGAGGATGAGGGCGAATGAGGAGGAGCAGCAGCAGCATAAGCAGACGCAGGATGGGGCAGGGCGGAGTAAGAGGAGGACTTCTGACCGTGAGCCAGGAGTGAAATTGAGGAAAGCGAGGAGGAGGAGGCGCAGCAGTAAGAGCACGGTGAGCAAAACGGCGCAGGAGGGGGGAGGAGGCCATTTGACCGACGGCAAAGTGGAGTAGGAGCGAGGAAGCAGAGGAGCAGGATCAGGAGGAGGAGCAACACCAGGAGCACAAGGGGCAGGAGGTCATTTGACCGAGGTTCAGATGGCGCGGGAATGAGGAGATGGTGGAGCCATGAGCTGGGTGCCATTCGACCGACGCCACATGGAGTAGGAGTGAGACGTGGCGGAGGTAGGCGGAAGAGCAGCAGCAACAGCACGAGCAAGAAGAGCAGGGGCTGGAGAGGGAGGCCATTCTGTCGACGGTCAAACGCAGCGGGAGTGAGGGGAGGACGAAGCCGATGATGATGATGATGATGTTGACGATGATGATGTTGACGATGATGATGATGGTGATGATGATGATGATGATGATGATGATGATGATGATGATGATGATGATGATGATGATGATGATGATGATGATGATGATGATGGTGATGGCGAGGAAGAGGGCGAGGAGCAACATCAGGCGCAACTGACCGACGGCCAGATGTATAACGATTAGGTCGTGGAGGGATGGGAGGGGGAGGACGAGGAAGAGAAATGTGCTGATGATGATGACGATGCGGTGGAGGAAAAGGAGGATGAGGATGATGAGAAGGAGAAGGATGAGGATGAGGAGCATGAGCATGAGCAGGAGCAGGAGGAGCACCATGAGCAGGAGGGAGCATGGGTGGAGGCGTTGGACCAACGACCAAATTCAGCAGGAATACGAGAGGAGGAGGGGGAACGGGAGGAGAAGGAGAAGGAGGAGGACGAGGAATGGCAGCAGCAACGCGAGGACTCCTCCGAGGCCTGCCTGTATACCTCCTTCCTCGCCCACCACCTCCGCGTGATTTTTCTTTCTTTCCCTGCATCCTCTGTGTTGCCCTTCCCCTCCATCTGCCCGCGCAATGCTTCCCACGGCCGCTCTGGCGAGTACTTTTGCTCTGGACGAGTGGCCGTTCAACTATCAGATCTGTATTGGTTTGCTGTGGACTCCAAAGAAAAACGCCCCTGCGCGACACGCCATGCTGATTGTACCACAGGGGCCTTCGCACAGAATCCCAACAGCGGCTATTCCAACAGCGCCTCCTAAGCCCAGGCCCAGTCGGACCAAAAATGCAACGCCGCTTAAACAAACAGAAAACATAATGAAACAAATATCAAACTTTAAATAAAACAAAAAACAACAAAAAAGAATAAGTAAAAAAAACAAAAAACAAAAAACACACACGCATTCGGCGGAGAGCCGTGAGCTCGTTCGGCGTGCAACCGATCTGCTTCCCGATCATCAGTTTTGACCCCGCTCGGCCGCGCCGAACTGGCTCACTGAGCTCGTCCGGCCGCCGAACCGGCTCAGAACTCATCAAAACGCAGCCGCCGAATCGGCTCACTTTGAGATTTCCTCGCTGCCGAATGGACGTGAGACCGTTCGGCGGGGGTGCCCCAGTCGGCGAAGCCCACCCCTGCCAATGGAAAAGCATTGTCTTTCAGAAGCTCGCCGAAGCGGCTCCTCTTAAGACGCCGAACCGGCTCAATGGACAACCCGTGGGCAGCAGCTGCCGGGCACGACGGGGGGGGCTGCAGGAAGTCTGCCGCGCGCGGCCCGCGGCGGCCCTGCCGCTGCAGGCGCCTGCCTCGATCCGTGCGCGGTGCGCGCACGTCGAGGCGCCGGGAGAGGCAGCTGCGTGAGCTGATTCGCGGACCCCGAATCAGCGGAGGAGGGGGGAGGAGGAGGGAGGAGGAGGGAGGAGGAGGGAGGAGGAGGAGGGAGGAAGAGGGAGGAGGAGGAGGGAGGAGGAGGAGGGAGGAGGGAGGAAGAGGGAGGAGGAGGGAGGAGGAGGAGGAGGAGGAGGAGGAGGAGGAGGAGGAGGAGGAGGAGCTGATGAGCTCATGAGCTGATTCGCGGACCCCCCCCCCGGTTCCCAGACTTCTCCGTCGCGGCCGCAAGCGGAGGCGCAGGCGGCGTCTACCGCAGCGCGCGAACTAACGGCCGCCGAAACTGCCGCCGGGGGACGCCGAGGAGCGACGCCGGGGACTGAAGGCAGAGCTGCAAGAGGTGCCAGGTGTGCCAGGCGGCTGAAGCCCAGTTCTCATGCAGGCCCCCGACGTCAGGATTTTCTCGTGGCGTCGACGCCCAGAGGTCTCGACGCCTTCCCCAGGACGGGCTCTTCGCCCTGAGTCGTTCTTTCCCGGCCCGCGAGGGCCGGGGAGGGCCCCCAGAGGCCGACAAGAGCGAAAGACCTCCCGTCGTGATTCTTGCCATTGCCCGAGGGGGTCTGGGTGTGCCCGCCCCCCCGAGGGGGTCTGGGCGTGTCCGGCCCGAGCGGTGGTGCCTGCTCCCCCGGCCAGCGTGGGCTGGGCTCCCGGCCACGTGCTTCCGGGGCAGCGATGGGGGGGAGGCGTATATTCAGGAGGGGAAAAAACACACAGACACAATTAATCGTCGATTCCACAGAAAATATGGGAAAATATCGGAATTGGGCGGGAAGACAAAAACCCAGAAAATATGGGAAAATATGGGGCATCTTTTTATTTGTGTAAATTTATTTGTGTGTCCCAGGGGCCCTTCATATATGGGGGGGGGGACGCATCGACCCCCAATCGCCCATGGATCGCCGATAGGTGCCCGAAGCCGATAGCCCCAGCCTGCCCGGGAAGGTGCGGGTCCACCGTCGGGGGCACGTCGTCGCCGACAGACCTCGGCGATGCATCGCCGCTTCCAGGTCGAGGCGTCTCCCCCCTGCTCCTCCTCCTCCTCCTCCTCCTCCTCCTCCTCCTCCTCCTCCTCCTCCTCCTCCGATCGTTGCCCCGCAGTGCCTGCGAGGCGGACCCAGACCCCCGACGTCATGAATTTTTCATGACGTCGACCCGCAAGGGTCTGGACCCATTCCCCGGGACCGGTTCTTCGTCCTCGAGTCGTTTTCTGACGGCCCCGGAGACCGGCAAGGGCCCCCAGAGGCCGAAAATAGCGCAAAACCACCCGTCGTGATTTTTTCATAACTGGAGGGGGTCTGGGGGGCGCGCACGCGGGGCAGGAGCGCCGTGAGCCTCGCTGCGAGAGCGCGTGCGCCGCGCGAGCCCTGCTCGCGGGGGGCTGCGGGATGCTGCAGGGCCGGGGGCCTCGCCCGTGCGCGAGCAGGGTCTGCCCCCTCCTCCTCTCTTGTCCTCCTCCTCCACCTCCTCCTCCCCTCCTCGCTCCTCCTCCTCCCCTCCTCCTCCCTCCTCCACCTCCCCCTCCTCCTCTCCTGTCCTCCTCTCCTCCACTTTCCCTCCCTCGCTCCTCACTCCTACCTCCTGCCTCCCACCCTCCTCCTCCTCCTCCTCCTCATCCTCCTATTCCTCCTCCTTCTCCTCCTCCCCCTCCTCTTCCTTTCTCCTCTCTCATCCCTCATCTCTCCATCTCCCGCGCTCCTCTCTGGTCGTGCGAAAGGGTTGGATCCCCAGACATGACCGCGTCGTCAAAAACAAATTAGGAAGGGAGGTCTTACGCCATTTTCGGCCTCTTAGGGCCCTTACCCGCCCTCGTGACCGTGAAAAGACGACTGAGGACGAAAAACCGGTCCTGGGAAGGGGTCGCGAGCTTTGGGGATAGACGTCATGAAACAATCATGACGTCAGGGGTCTGAGTCCCGCGCTCTTTTCGGGGGACCGTAAGACTCGAGTAAGCTTGGACTCGGGTTGACCGACGTTGTCTGACGAGCGCGTCCTGGATTTTGACGGTCCAGTGTTCGTGGGATGTTTGGGATGTTTGCAGCGGGAGCTCGCGTCAAACTTCAGACTGGGTCGCGTCATTTTTACAATGGCCCCTTCCAGGCCAATCCGAGTCCCCCGTACCCGAGTCTTACTTCTCCCGCGCTCCTTTCTGGTCGGGATCGTGAAACAACGGCTGAGGACGAAAAACCGGTCCCAGGGAAGGGGTCGAGACCCCTGGGGATCGACGACATGAAGAAATCATGATGTCAGAGATCTGGGACCCGCGCTCCTTTCGGGTCGGGCGGAAGAGTTGGACAGGGAAGGGGGGAGGGGGTGCGAAGTCTGCTGCGTGCAGGGGGGGGGGCTTTCCTCGACACGTTGGCGCCGGGAGGCGCGGTGAAAGGCAGCTGAGCGGGCTGGTTCGCTGACACCCCTTTTGTTGGCTCCATGTTTTGTCCGACCCGGTTCTTCGAGAGGTGGGAGATTCGGCGGATCGGAGATGGGGCCCATTGAGCACGAGTGGCCTACAACAGTGAAGGTGAAGCTTGGGATCCTTCGAGCCCCATCCCTGTCGACCCCGTTTTTGAACCGCCGAGAGATGGAGGAGCAGGAGCAGGAGGATAAGGAGAGAGCCTTGGTGGTGCGCACGCAAGCCGGGCGCTTTGAGCGCTGGTTCTTGCCCAGGGCAAGACGCTCGGCGAAGAATAAGGCAGCAGCACGGCTGCGACCGTTGGTCTGCTCTGCGGGGTCAACGTGCTGAGTGTTTGTTCCTGGCCCTCCCGTGCTCGGTCCTCGCTGTGCTTCTCCTCCTCCTCCTCCTCCTCCTCCTTCTCCTCCTCCTCCTCCTCGAGCGCCAAGAGAGGTCGCGACGCCACCACACACCTACGCCCGCAGAGCTCGACGAGCAGCGGCACGACCCGGTAGCAGACCATCCGCGAACGCTGGGCAGCCAGCCCGCCCCGGCGCCAGCTCAGCCCGCCGCCGCGGCGCCTAGCCCAGCGGCCCGGGCAGCGCGGTCACCGCCGAGGGCGGTGCGCAGCTGCCGCGCCGTCGCCCGCTGCAGGGCGACGCTGAGCTCGGCGCCCCAGCGCTGCGCCAGGGCGCTGGCGACCGCAGCGGCCCGGTCTTCGTCCACAAGCTGCGCCTGGTCGCGGGCGAGCTGGCGGAGGTGCTGCAGCGCCGCCCTGCCGTGCCGCCCGCCTGACTCTAAGGCGAGCGGCAGCAGCGGCCAGGGGCAGTTGGCGCCCGCGGGGTAGCGGCGCCGCTTGTCGGCCTCGGCCACCGCGGCAACGGCGCCGTCGTGCCGGGCCGCGGCTTCCAGCGCTTCCGCGTCGCCCGGCACGGCGTAGCGGACCGTCACGTCGATGAAGAGACGTGGGCAGCCCGCATGCTCCTCCTCCTCCTCCTCCTCCTCCTCCTCGTGGTCCTCCTGCTCCTCCTCCTCCTCCTCCTCCTCCTCCTCCTTCTCCTTCTCCTCCTCCTCCTCCTCCTCCTCCTCCTCCTCCTTCTCCTGCTCCTCCTTCTTTTCCTCCTCCTCGTCCTCCTCCTCGTCCTCCTCCTCCTCCTTCTCCTCCTCCTTTGTTGCCCCCTCACAGGGGTGGTGGCCTGCCTCGTTGCCCTCTCACGTGGATGGTGCCCTGCTGTGGATCGGATCCGCGCTCCTGTCGGTTGCTGGCCATCTCTCCTTGCACTCCGCGCTCCGCGCCTCGCGCTCCCTGGGTGCTTCCTTCCCTCGCCGTGCGGGGGCGCTGCTGGGCGCGGCGGCGGTGGCCGTCGCGGGGCCCTGGGAGGTCCGGCGGGGAGGCGTCTGGTCCAGATGCCCTGCTCCCACTGGGTGCTGCCAGGCGTGCCAAGAGCGGCGCACTTCGCTGCGCCCCATGGGAGGTCCGCCGGAGTGGCGTCGTACTGTCACGTCCGAGCTGGGCCTTGTCCTCTCTGGGTGTTGCCAGGCATCTTTGCTTTCGGCGCTTTGCTGCGCTCACGTGGGCCAGACCTGGCCCCCCCCGTGGAGCCACCGCGGACGGCCCCGAGCTAGACCTCTCGGACGGGGCCAGGACGAGGATGAATCCGTTACAGAGCGTTCCGGAAAGCTCTCAGAGCGTTCGGGAACGCTCTGGGAAGGCCGCGGTCTCCCAGATCCGCCGGACCTCAGAGATTCTCAATGTGCATCCGTACCCGATGTTATCCTCGTCCTGGCTTCGTCTTAGCCGTGTCCTCTCTGGGTGTTGCCAGTCGTTCCTGCTTCCGCCATTTGGCTGCGCTCACGTGGGCCAGACCTCGCCTCCCCCCCCCCCCGGTGGAGCCACTAGGTGCCCAGGAGGAGGAGGCGGAGGAGGAGGAGGAGGAGGAGGAGGAGGAGCAGGAGGAGGAGGAGGAGGAGGAGGAGGAGCAGGAGGAGGAGGAGGAGGAGGAGAGCGGAGATCCACGCGGATGCCTTGCGGGCTGCGCCTTCCCCGGGTGCCGCCGTGCGCGCGCGGGTTGCGCTGCGCCTCCCGGGGGGGGGGGGGTCCGGCGGAGAGGGGCGCCCCATGCAGACCCGAGCCAGACCGCGCCCTCCTCGGGCGCTGCCAGTCGCGCACGTTCATCGCCGCGTGCTCGCGCCCCCCCTTTTGGGGGGGGGGGGTCAGCGGAGGGGCGCCCCGCGCAGATCCAAACGCTGCTCAGTCTCGCTTCGGCGATCCCCATCCCCATCGCCGTCCCCACCCCCGGCCCAGACCCCCACCATCTCATCCCCCCAGTTGGGGTTGTATGCCCTCCGAGATCGGACGGAAGCTGCCTGTATCCCCATTGAGGGGGGGTAGAACTGGACAGCGGGGCCCGGGCCGCGCGAGCGGGGATAGGGATCGGTGAAACGATGCTCATGCAGTCTGTCTCGCCCTCCACGGGTGCTGCAGGGCGTGCCGGGGTTCGCCACTCTTGCTGCGTCCCTGGAGCTCCAGCGGAGGGTGGTGGCTCGCGAATTCGGAGGGGGACCTCGCCCTCCCTCGGGCTGCGGGGCGGTCGTGCGCAGAATCCTGTTTCTGATCCTGCTTCCTCCGCTTCGTCGTCGACGTCGTCATCGTCGTCCGCGTCGCCGCCGCCGTCGTCGCCGCCGTCGTCGCCGCTGCTGTCATCCTCCATGTTTCTTCCACGCCATGGCTTCCTCTGTCGCTGTGGCAGGGGGTCGAGCGCCCTTTCCTGCAGTCCCTCGCTCCGGGCCAGGTTTGGGATGCTTTCACGTGTTGCAGACGGGTTGGGTGCGTCCCCGGGTAACTCCCGGGGGGGTCCGACAGGGCTGGGGACGGGCATCCTTGCAGGAGGGCCGCGGGGAGGCACCACGGCGGCCACGGCGGGCGGGGACAGGCCATGGCTCCTGTGGCTCCCGGCCAGGGTCAGACCACGGCGCCCACAGCGAGCGACGCACTCCCCGACGGGTTCGAGGGGTGAGTGGGCCCCAGGAATCACAAGAGCGGATCCACCACTAAGCCCCAGAGAGCCCATCATGCGCCAATCTCTGAGGACTTTCGGGCCGTCCCGCCACCGTGCTTGGGCCGTGCAAGGGCAGCCTCTTGGAAGGCCTCTTGGGACCTCTTGGAGGCCTCTTTGGGGCATCTTGGAGGCCTCCTCGGGGCGTCTTGGAGCCTCCTTGGGGCCTCTTCTCTTAGGGCGCCTCTGGGGGGCCGCTTGGGTGCCTTCTGGCTTGCCGTGTAGGGCCCCAAAGGCCAGTCGAATTCCATATTGTGGTCCCCTCTTCGGGGCTCATGGGAGCTTTGGGGGCCCCTCTTCGGGGCTTCGGGGCCACCTCGGAGCTCTCGTTTGGGCCTCCTGGGTAGCCTTAAATCGCAAAGGCGAGGCGAAAACCATATCAAGCATGTGTGCCAATGTGGATACAAATAGTGCGTTATTGCACTGGAGGCGACAGCTATGCAGTATAAGCTGTGTGGTGTAAGTTACGCCATGCAAGCTACGGAGGTGAACGCCATGCGATGTAAGCTAGGTTGTTTGAGCTAGGTCGTGAACACTGTTGTATGAGCTGGAGGTGAATGCTGTGCGGGTGTAAGCTTTGTTATGTGAGCTATGCGGTGCAAGCTATATAGTGTAAGCTAGGTCGTGCAGGCTCTGTGGTGCAAGCTGTGTGGTGCAAACTCAGCGCACGGGACGACGCCCACGAGCGCCAACGAGGCGGCACGGGCGGCAACGTGGCGCAACTTCGGCAACCCCCCCCAGCGCACGGGGCGCCCACGAGGCGCAACCTCGGCACCCCCACCACCAGCGCACGGGGCGCCCACGAGCGTCAGCGAGGCGGTGCGGGCGGCAACGTGGCACATTTTCGCCCCCCCCCCCCAGCGCACGGGGCGCCCACGAGCGCCAACGAGGCGGCACGGGCGGCAAGGTGGCACAACTTCGGCAACCCTCCCCAGCGCATGGGGCACACGCGAGCGTTCCCACGAGATGGCACGGGCGTCAATGTGGCGAAAACCCGGCAAACCCGTCCAGTTCTTCCTTCAAGGAAGCGAAGTAAGGACTCCTCAGTGCATATGTTCGGTAATTTGGTTGTGTGGGCGGGCTCACAGGACTTCAAGACGGCGCCCACGAGGCTCCCAAGCGAGCCCCAGGACTGCCCCATGGCACTATCTTGGGGCACGCTGGAAGTTCGGAGTCCTGGCAACGCTCAGGAGGCCCTTTGCAAACCCACGACCCCAGAGGAAGAACGGAGCGCGCGAGAGCGCCCAGCGAGAGTCCAGGAGTTCCGGCACTCCGGGGTCTGACCCCTCAGCGCGCCCGTGCAATCCTCAAGGCAGGGAGCCCAAAGGGACATGAGGCACGCCGCAAAGATGTGACGTCCCGGCGTGGCCGGGAACGGATACCCATGTCGTCAGACTGGGATCGACTTGGAACATGCCTCCTCCTCCTCCTTCCCCTCCTCCTCCTCCTCCTCTCCTCCTCCTCCTCCCTGCCCTCCTCCTCCGCCTCCTCCTGCTCCTCCTCCTCCTTTTTCTCCTCCTCCTCCTCCTCCTCCTCCTCCTCCTCTCCTCCTCCTCCTCCTCGCCTCCTCCTCCTCCTCCTCCTCCTCCTCCTCCCCCTCCCCCTCCCCCTCCCCTGTGGAGGCTCGGTGGCTGTGGACCACTGGCGGCGCGGAGAGTATGGGGTGGCATGGGATCGTGGGCCCGGCCTTCTGCGAATGCTCCCCGCCTCTCCGACGGCGCGGGGCGTGCGGCGTTCCGGGGGCGCTCCCCAGGGAAGAGCCCCCCTGCCTTCGACGAAGGCCGCCCCACCCCTCGCCCTGGCCCCTAGCCCTTCTTCCCCGCCGCCGAAGGCACTCCCTCCTCGGGCAGCCCCACCCCGCTCGGGTCCGCCAGTCGCACGCGGCCTCGTGGCGGCCCTCACTTGGCACCGCCGGCTTCGTATCGAGGGGCTTCGGCGGACAGGCATACGTTGGCGCTACGGTCGGACCGGGGCACCAGATCGAGGTCGGTTCGGGGAGGGCTCCCCAATGTTCTTGTGCTTGTTGGCTGATGCTCTTGTGCAGTGCGCATCCTAAAAAGGGTGCCCTTGGAGGTTCTGAGTGTTGTGGCAGGCGGAGTGCTCTTGAGGGGTACTCTTCTGTCCTTCACCGAGCGCATTCCACTACCCGCAAAAACTGCGCACTCGCAAACGTCTGAAACACGCACATGTGTGTGTGTGTGCATCGATGCGATGTCTCGTAAGTTCCCCGCGGCGGATCCGGGCCATTGGCGAGCAGTTGCTCTGCGAGTCGTGCCTGTCCAGTCTACCGCGCAGCAGGGCGTAGCGGGGCGGCCGCACGGGGGCAGCCGCGTGGAGCGATCCTGGCGCGAGCGGCGGGCAGCCCTGAGCGCCCCGCCCGCTGCGGTGGGCCAGCGCGGGGGGGGTGAGCAGCGAGCGCGGGGAGGGTGGGGGCAGGGGGGGTACCACCCAGAGGTCCGAGGAGGCGATGTCTTCAATCCGGCGGTGCTTGTCTTGGATTTCGGCCTCCAGGGCCCGTTCTCGGGGCCGGGGACGATCAAAAGTGGATTTCCGGGACGAAAAGACACCCCCGGGCCAAAAGGGGTCGGGACTTCTAGGGCCGCGGATTGGAAAAGTCGTATCGGCGGAGGTCTGGGCATGAAGAGGGGGGAGCGGTTGGATGGGAAGGGGGAGTGTTTCTTCCTCCTCCTCGCCCTTCTCCTTCTCCTGCATCGCTTGTCCTTACAGATCGCTCCTCCCTGTCGCACCCCCAGGCGTGTCGGTAGAGCGGTCCAGGCGTTACTCCTTGGACCTTTTCCTTCCCCAGCAGCTATGACCCCGAAGCCTGAAGCCTGCGACAGATACAAGGTGGAGCACAGGTCGTTTTCAAAATCGAGCTCTCGCATCAGCGCCGTGCACAGTCGTCTTAACAGTTTCCAATAGCATCATGGGCGGATGGGGCCGCTTTTAGAATGGAGCTCTCGCCTCGACGCCGCGAACATTCGTCTTGCAAGCTGGCAGCCGTTACAAGGATGGAACGCGGGCCGTTTTTTCAAGTCGGAGCTCTTGCCTTGGCGCCGCGCACATTCGTTTCAAGAGCCTGCAACAAGTACAAGCCTTCGTCTTTCCGAGGCGGATTTATAGACAACCACCGCCTGAAGGATCGCCTCTTCTTGTTTCAGTACGTCCCCGCTCCCACCCCCTGGGCCGCGCACGTGCCGCCGGCCATGATTTGCCCCTCCCCCCCCTTCTTGGACGCCCCCCTCTTGGCCGCCCCCGAAAATTCGGCGGCGAGCGAGGGGAGGAAGCGAGAAGGAGAAGGCCTCCTCAGACGGCGGCGGAACTCCTCAGAAGCCCTCCGGCCTTCCGAGAAGCTTTCTTGTGCCCTCGGGGGAGGCTTAGGAAACTTCCCAGCAGGCCTGGGGACGTCCCCTTCTCACTTCCCCCCCAGGCCCGCCGCCCATACATGGGAGGTGAAGCACACGACCCCAGAGGGGTCCTGTAGATCCGCTCGTGGAGCCAGCGGGGGCCCAAAGGATGCCCTGACGAGCCCCCTTCAGGGTTTTTCCTTTGTCACCCCCCGCTATCGGGGGTGGACAGACCTCCTACCCTGACACGTCGATTAAGGAATTGGCCGTTTTCTGTTCGCGAGGGGGCGTCGCGGCCGTCATTTTTGCGGGTCCAGGTCCGTCGGTTTCGCTCCCAAGCCGCTTTCACTACAGGGAGGTTTACTAAAGGGAGGTTTGTCCACCACCGACACTACCACCCGCCCAAAGCATTTCGCCAGGGTGTTACCCCAGGGTGTGCTTTGCGATCGGCGCCGTTGGGTCGGCTGCGCGTAAGAGTGAGCCTTCGCCGGAGTGACTTTCGGTGCGGGCACGCAGGGGTCCCCCCAGGGCTTGTTGGCGCGCTTGGATTTGGACTCCCGCAGTCCCCTAAAACCGTGCACCAAAGGTCACTCTTGCCTAGTGTCATTCTTGCGTGTAGTCGAGTGGGCCTTGCAGGGCACCGCGTTACCCTCGTCGGGCCGCCTCGGGGTGCGGTGGAAAACGCTGCCGAGGTTCTCGCCCGCCTCCCAGGGTGCGGGTTGCAAACCACACCCTTTGCAAACCACGCCCATGGGGGTCGCCGAACCAAACCCGCGACCAGGTCTTCGCCGCGGATCGTTCTTCAATGGTCCCAGGGCCCGAGAACTTCCTTGGAGTCCAACACGCCGTGGTTCTTTTCCCGACGCCTGCCAGTGGCGGCTCACCATAACCGCGTCGGGCGAGCCGCTCGCGATGCCGCGCAGCACGTCGCACGGAGCGCAGCGAAGGAGTTCGTCATCGGCATGCCGCACAGAGGGCGGCTCAACGTGCTGGTGAACGTGCTGGGCCACCCGACGATCTGCCAGGGGAGGAAGGGGAGGGGCAGAACAAGCACAGTCAGAACTCGTGGCATGGATGTAATTCAGGAGGGAAAAAACACACACACAGACACAATTAATCGTCGATTCCCCTGAAAATATGTGAAAATATGGGAAGTGGGGGGGAAGACAAAAACCCAGAAAATATGGGAAAATATGGAGG